GGGGGGGGGAGGATGGGATGGGAAGGGGAAACAAAGGAGGAGGCTACAATGCTTGATAAGAAATGTACTTATTATCTTGCCCATGTAATTGTAACCCCTCTTATCTTGCCCATGTAATTGTAACCCTTCTGTACAGTATTTTCACAATTAAAAAAAAGAAAGAAAAGGGCCGAAGTACGGAGGTTCATTGAAAAGGCTAAACATAAACCTTCCCTATGACCCAGCAATCCCACTCCCAGACATTTACCCAAATTATCACAAACAAAGCCACACTAAAGCCACCAGCACAACCATGTTCACAACTATGCAGTATTATTTACCATACCTAAGAGATGCAACCAAACTAGATGCTCCTCAAAAGATGAATGGATCAAGAAAATGTGGTATATACACACAATGGAATTTTATGCCTCCATCCGAAAAATTGGCATCACCCCATTTGTAAGGAAATAGAAAGACTTGGAAAAAATCATATTAAGTGAAGTAAGACAGACCCAAAGAAACATAGGCTCCATAGTTTCCCTCATTTGTAATACTTAGTATAAGTCTAGGATAGCCCTAGCAGAGGATCACAATAGCTCAATAGCTATGTACACATGACCATATAAAATGATGCTAATCGAAATGAACTCCAAGATGTGGAAACAAGAGGTTTTTTGTTGTTGTTGTTGACCTTATTGTCATCAATGTACTGTATCAAGTTAATTTTTTTCTTTTTCCCTTTGGTTTATCCCCAGTAGTCACTGTTTTTGATTCTAGTACCCCGTGTCTTATACATACGTTTATCTGATTTGGGGAAAGGAAGGGGAAACACGAAATGGTGAAACAAGGACAAAGGGTGAACCAAACGCAACAGCGATACTCACAAGACACTAGGTTGGAAATGAACTGCACAACTTCAGAGGAGGGGGCGGGGAGGGATAGTGAGAGAAAACCAAAGGAGTAGGTAACAATGTTCAATAAGAAATGTAGTCATTACCTTACTCATGTAACTGTAACCCCTCTGAACAACACCTTTACAACAAAATTAAATTAAATTAAAAAGAGCATCTTTTCTACTTTCTTGTTCCCCATATAATTAAAAATACCACTTAGTAGTAGTCAAAAGAACTGATATTTATCAACAAGTAACCATAAAACAGTAACTGAAATAAGCTACCTGCTGAGTTGTGCTGATGGTAGTGAATAAGCTTTGGAATCGAGTCAAAGCAGTAGTTTTCTGCCAGGTAGAGTTTATTGTCAGCATTGGTATGCACGTGGTAATGTTTGACAGTTCCTTTTTTATCACTAGTAAGGAAAAAGAATGTTAGAATATTTTAATAAGCAATTGAAACTTGGTTAAACAATTAGTTAAATAGTCATTCGTGGAATGAATATTAAAATATTTTAATAAACAATCAAAACTTGATTAAATAATTGGTTCAATAATTATTTGGGCTTCATCTGCAAAATTTGGAGAGAAAACTCAGGGAAGATTTCTCAGGCTTGCCATCTGGTATTTTACTGGAAGTATCCATGACAACCGGTAGTTATGGACTGGATCTCCTTCTGAGCTCAGCATACCTTTGGGCATACATAAAGTCCATGCTTAATCTAAATTCCAGCTTTTGGACTCCTTTTTCCTTAGCACTTATAACATAGAATTTTCTTTTGATGATTGAAAAGATAAACATTTTTCAGATTCATTTGTATTTGAACAAATAAGCTCTTTTTAAAGTTAATAACGGATATAAAATGAGGAAGGCAGATGTAAGTAGGTAGTGGGAATTCTCATGCAGATCATGGATACAAGGCTCTTTTAGGAATAGACCATGCAAGACAAAGTGGGTGGGCATGTTTTTAATATCTCACATGAAGTTGTACCTTTTGTATAGAAAGCATTTCATTTTACCCTCTACTTGTAGAAGATAGGGTGAGTTGATGTACATTGATTTATGTTAATCAGGAATAGTTAAAATCCGATTGTTTTAGTTTTCTTTTAATAATTATCTTTAGTTGTACAAGGCATTTCATTTTGACCTTGTCTTAAAGTTGAGTATGGTATGGTGGTCAAGAACTGGACTTGGAGCAGTGACTCATGCCTGTAAGCCTTGCTACTTAGAAGTCTGAAAACTGGAAGATTGAATTTCAAAGCCAAGTAGGGCAGAAAAGTCCTGGAAGGTCCAATTAGCCAGCAAAAAGCTGGGCTGGAGAGGTGGGTCAAGTGATAGAGAGCCAATCAAGCAAGAATGAGGCCCTGAGTTCAAGCCCTAGTACCAGAAATTAAAAGAAAAGAACTGGGCTTTGCATATACTTCTACTGCTTTCTACCCATTTCTTTCAGTTATACTAAAGCTTGGATGAGATTATGTGTATGCATAAATGTGTGTGTGTGTTGGTGTGTAGGCATAGAGCAGGTATAATGACTCCTTCCTCATAGCAGCGTCAAGAAAATCATTGCTATTATTTTCTTAAGAGCAACAACAATCGTTATTGCTATTATTTTATTAAGTGCTTACTATGTGCCAGGCAGTGTTCTGATCCAATAGATGTATTATTTCATTTCATCCATAGAATATCATAAGTATTATTATGCTTCCAGTTTAAATGTCATAAAGCTCTGAAATGGCAGAGCCAGGATTCAAATCTATAAGGCTCCTTTGCTCATGTTTTCTTTGTATATGTAGGCCTAACTGGAAGGGAATTACCTATGAATATTACTAAATGCCAACTGAGATGTGTTATGTTTGTGCTCTCTACCACTGACCAGGGTGGGTAGCAGGAGAATAACCTCTTGAAAGTAGAGGAGGTAAAAAACGCAACTCAAATAACCACATTCCACAGAAATACTTTGATCCCAAACTCTAGAGTATAAAGATGGTGTCTTATCTCAAAATGACTAAGTGACTAGCCTATGCATACAATAGAGGGAAGAGGATTAAAGAAACACCCACATTATACTTACTTTATGGCCTTACTAAATAAGGACACAGTGTACATTCCCACCTGGCTGGAATTTCTAACCATAAATGCTCCTTCTTTTCCCTGAAAAGGAAAATCATCTTCATTACTTTTGAAACTCATTTTTCATGTAAGCAATGGGAAAAGAAATACTTTAGATGCCCTCTAAATGTTATGGAGGGCATACCTTACCCAACGGTAGGCAAAAATGGGCCTGGAGTTTAGCTTTCCTCCTCTTCTCACCCAGGTTTTCTTTCTTTCTTTCTTTTTATCTTTCCTTACATTCTTTCTTTCTTTCCTTCCTTCCATTCTTTCCTTCCTTCTTTCCTTCCTTTTCTCCCTCCCTCCCTCCCTCCATTCTTTCCCCCTCCTTTCCTCCTTTCTCTTCTCCTCTTCCTCTTCTCTCTCCCTCTCCCTCCATTCCTCTTTCCCTCCCTCCCCCTCTCTATTTCTAGCTATGTGTCTTTATCTCTCATATGGAAGATAAACCTCAAGGCCTTGCATATATTGTATATGTTAAGCAAGTACTGTACTATTGTGTCTTCAGTCTACTCCGCATCTCTATGTATCTGTGTATTTCAGCTTTTCCTCCCCAGTTAATTTCTTCTCTTTCTGATAATTATCTCTCTTCCACTTATTAAAGTTTAACGTTCCCATGTTTTAACAAATCAAATTCAAAATGACATACCATCACATTATGTTCTTGATATTTTTTAGAAAATCAAAGATGTAAAAGAAATCATTTGTTAAAGTTCTACACTTATCCTGTTTTTCCCCTCAGTGAATGTGCTAATTCTAACCATATCTGGAGTCAGAAAGAGCATGGCTGTTCTTTCCATGTGACGTGTGGACTATGGATATGTCAACATGCCATGATGTCATCACGTTCTCCCTAGCATCTCTCAAAGAAATGTCTCTCAAAGGAATTGGTTTGTTGAATGTTTTTATTAGACTAAACTATGTCAAAAACACCTTTTGCTCTGGTTCCAAAGCATTTGCTTTTGGTTTAACATTCAGCAACAAAATCAGGTAAATTTATTCCCTTATGCTTGTCAGCTCAGATTTTGGTGCTAAAAGCAGTGACAGAGTAGCGGTCCATGGCTAGCTACACTGATGATTCTCAATCAATTATTTTTCTTGGGCTGGGAGTGCAGCTTCGTGGGAGGGGGCATGCTTAATAGGCACTAAGCCTTGGGTTCAAATCCTTAGCATGGCAAAAACAAAACAAAATAAATCTTCCCTCTTAATTGTGTCACTGGGTAATCTCCTCCCACATTGACTTTGCAGGGACATGTGACATACTATGACCAAGGGACATTAGCAAATGACAAAAGCAGAGATTCATTACAGGATTTGTCTTCTTTGACCACTGTCCTTCTGTGAGGTGGCCTTCATTATAAACATGAGGAGGCTGCTTGCAGAACTGTGGCACTCAGTGAATGCATTAGCCTAATGTAGCCACAAGAGTGAGCCTAAGTAACACACGTAGTTGGCCCAGCTGACTCACAGATTTGCAAGACATCATATACCTAATTCTAAGTCATTAAATTTTGGGATGATTTATTATGTAGTACTAGATAATGGACACAGAAGAACTGGATAGCCATGAGAGACCTAATAACTCAAAGGTTGGAAAATTAACACCATGACAAAATTGACTGGATAATTAGCAACAGTGTTTCTTTAAAAGTTTCATTCACTTCTGGGCTACATCATGAAAAGAAACTCTTGGACCTTTGACTATGATTTAGTAGTAGGATATAGTTTAGCATGGAGGGGGTAGGGAAAGAGGGAGAGAGAGAGAGAGAGAGAGAGAGAGAGATTATATAAAATAAGATTATTTACCTTTTGTCTCAGTAACTGCTCAGATTGTGACCTGGAGATGTTACCTGCAAACCAGCTGGAAAAGAATTCTGGATTTGAGAATCAATACTTTTAAAATACCATCACAAAGCACTGATACTTTTAATCCATGAAGTATTGGCCTAAATCAGTGGTTTTCAAACCTGACTGTTCCAGAGAATAGCCTGAGGATATATATGTGTGTGTGTTTTTGTGTGTGTGTGTGTGTGTGTGTGTGTGTGTGTCTCAGGATTTTGAGGCTCTACCAGCTAATTCTGCTTCTGGGCCAGGACCTACATATGTCAAGCTTTAAGCAGGCTGGTATTTAGGAACCTCTGGCTTTTTTTTCTAGGAGATATATGTTATCCTACAGTTCACCATTTTGAATGAAGGCTACAGATTGGACAAATGAAGGCTATTCTAATTAGAATGTTAAGGTTGCAAAGTAAACATTCTTAATTTTGAACTCTATCATTTTTCTTTTTTTTTTTAGTGGTGATACTGGAGTTTAAACTCAGGCCTTCATACTCGCTATGCAAGTAATCTATCAACTAGAGTCACTGTATGAGCCTTGAATTTTTTTAACAATCTGATAGAAGCATTCTTTATATCAACTACTTTCAAAGCCAATTTTGAATTTGTGGATGTTTTTCAGGATCACAATAGATAAACATCGAGGATATTAGGTCAAGAGAAATTACACTGCACTGAGAAAAAGATGATATGGGAAAGCTAAGAACAACTTTTTAAAATAATCTTTAAATATTACCCTTTAAACTAACTTAGCCAAGAACATAGTGTCTCATCTTCTTTGTGGAGCTAAACAGTCAGGAGCTAGTTCTTATGTGAGGTCAGCAATGTTTGTGGTCTTGTGCCTTTACCTAAAATATCATAATAAGAACATAAGGGTATGAGGTAGAATGGGACATGATTGGGGGGGGATCAGGGGAACCTTATGGCTAGAAAACAACACTTGAGGCAGAAGGAAATGCACACAAGGACACTGAGGACAAAAGGGAAGAATTGTAGAAGAAAAACAAAGGCAGAAGGCTTCTTAGAACTTGGCAGGAATGGATGAAAAGTAGTTGTAAATTCTCTGTATAGTTGAAGCAGAGGATAGTTTAATAAAGTAGAAAAAACCTTAGACCAGCTAGCATGGAAGTAGGTCCAGGTTCTGGAACTAACTTTCCAATATGCAGTTATGCGACATTAAGCAAGTTCCTTGGCCTCTTTTGCCCTTGGACTCCCCCATCTGTAAAATTAGGGAAAGGGCTGTTCATGGTAAGTTTGAAAGTCTCTGAATTTTACACAGTCTATAACTAACTCTTGAGATATTATCTGATAGTTTTTTTGTTAATTAATATTTTAAGATAGTACTAGCTAGTTCAAATGTCACTTAGGAAATGTGATCTGGGATATATATCTATGCAGGATAGAAAAAAAAGAGATGATTTGGAATAAGAAAAGAAGACTATAGAGGCCCAGAAAATTCCAGTTTATTCCAGATATCCAGTGCATTATTTCCCTTGTCTAACATATCCCAATTTGGGATCTAAATGATAAGGTTACCCTAAGAATAGGAATCTTTCAACATAAATGTTACCATCTTCAAGGTCTCACTGTGCTACCTTGAAAAATTACTGCATCATAACTAACTTCCTCAAAACTTAACTCAATGTTGTTTTAAAATTTTTATTGTCAAGGTGATAAGAGCTTTTAAACATTACCCTGATGAGAGACATGCAGGTAATAAATCATGGGCAGGAGCATTATAAACTATATCTATGAATACAAAGTAAAATGAAGAGAAACTGAATATGCAAGAAATTCAATGAATATATACACCTAATTTACATAGGCCACCTTGGTGGAATTATCTTCAGTGGTAATATCTCAGTTCATGGCCGCCTGTCAAGAGTTTACATCTTCGTGAGAAAGTCTAAGCTATCTGTCTTTAAGGACATCTTCATTGTCTTTGGGGAGCAGAACAGAATCATTTATGTCCAGTTTTAGAGAAGCACAGATAACTTTGAACACTCACTCATAATCATCCAGGTTTTCCTCTTCTTCAGAGGAACTTGACTCAGGAAGCCCCCTGAAGGAGAGTTGAGAAACAACATGAAATAAAAAACCGCACCAAGAAACATCCAAATGTCTAGTGGCAAATTACAAAACTTGTACCCTTCTTTTATCCACATAAATAAGATCAAGAATGTTAACTTTCCCCTTTTGTGCATTGAGAGGTATCAGCAAAATCAAGTGACAGTCACCCAAAAAGTTGGGTTCACTCTCAGTCTAATGAGAGAATGGCTCTTGAATACAGAAGGCCCCAAGAACTGGATGTTCCTTGATTGTTTTCAAGACAGATCATGTAATACATCAGGGGTAGCAAAAGAATAAACATGTTTGGGGTTGTATACGGAGATACTTTTAAGGAAGAATTATTCAACATTGAGTTGCTTTCCCTCCTGCTCAAGATGTCTGAGCCATATATATTACAACACCAAAGTATGTCATAAGTGATAACCAGGAAAAAAAATCAGTGTGAGGGAAAGTATAATCCACAATCAATCAATTCAGAGAGGCAAGCTACATGAACACTCTTGGTGTATATTTGCTTTACATGAAAAACCTAGTTGCAAAATTATTGTTGATTTGGTTAGTTGTTTTTTTTTTAAGTACTGAATATAAAGTAATAGCTGGATTTCACTTACCATGATATCTTTGAAGGGCTATGATTTGCAATGTTTCTTTCCACTGGGTTACTGCATGCTATATCTTCATTGCTACAAATTAAGAGATATAGTTCATATATTTATAAATGTATTTACTCATAAATGTTAAATAACAAAAGTAATTTAGTTCTGATGTATCTTATCTTTATTTAACATTCAGATCTCCACATTTTACTTTGTTTGAGCTCATCACTATTCCTAATGAAAGAGAACAGCTAATGAGGGCTTCTCATGGCCCCAAACATTAGTAAAACCCATATCAGTGCAGAGTCTTGACAAGATCGACATAGATTTTCATATAGATATGCAAGCCGTCTGTCACACATTTATTTTAAAATAGGACCGTTTCCTTTCTTATGTGATTATGGTTAAAAAGCTTGAAAATCTTGAACTTTTAACCCTATCTAGACACACATGGTCTAGCAGGATTCGCATCATGCTTGGCCAACTGGCTTTTCCATTCTGGATGGTAAGCACATAAGGAAGTGTCTACCTTCCAAAGTCCACAGGCTGTTTTATCTGGAATGTAGAGCCTATTTCCTGTTTGCATACATAGTCCAGAAAAACCACAGTTCATGGAACACAGTCCTCTGGCAAGGAAGTGCTCCTTTGGCTCCATTTCAAGGAATGCCCAGAGAAAGCCCTGAAACAGTAGAGTGTCTCCATCCATACCTTCCCGATGAGCCTTGGCTTCCTAGAAGAGACTTTTAGCTTCCTCTCTTCAGAAGAGAGCTGTTATTTAAAAAGACTACACAATTTAGATAGCCTTTTGGTTTTTGTAAAATTTGTTTGTTCACTTTTGTGCCAGTCCTAGGGCTTGAACTCAGTGCCTGGGCACTGTCCCTGAGCTTTTTTGCCCAAGACTAGTGCTCTACCACTTGAGCCACAGATCCACTTCTGACTTGTGGTTAATTGGAGATAAGAATATCAAAAACTTTGCTGTCCAGTCTGGCTTTGAACTATGGTCCTCAGATCGTAGCTTCGTGAGTAGCTATGATGACAGGTGTGAGTCATGTACCTGGCAAGCCTTTTTTTATTAAGGGCTCATGGAGAGTGGCCATCAATAGTGTATCATGTTTACCCATTTATCCACATACTAGACTACTCTATAAACATGAAAAAGAACTGGGTAGGTTGCACACAAATGTGAATGTATGCAATACTACTGAACCTCACATTTAAAATGATCAAGGTGGCAAACATAATATCTTTTTTTATCATAATAGAAATACAAATTTTGACCCTGGTCTTTCCTCATGTATTCAAATGGGAAACCTATCAAAGATGCCAAGTAAAAGAACTAAAAGCCAAGAAGATTGTACAGTGAGGAATGCACATTGAATATTCTACAATATTTGAAAGTTTTTAGTGGGAACATGAGTACTTTAGTGATCAGAAAAACAATGGAAATTTAAAGTATCTCTGAAGAAGGTATTAAAATGACCAAGTTGATAAAACTCTCATCTAAAGTATGAATAAGAATCATGTCTATTTAAAAAAACACTCTAGCTCAATGACAACTGTGTGGCAATAATTACAAATTTACCTACAGATGCTATTTTGCTTATAACGTGAAGTTAGTGATGAATCCATTGTACAACTAACTAGCTTTCTGAAGTTTGGGGACAAAATTCAGGGCCAGGACTAAACTTAAGGGAGCACAAAAATCTAAGTGTGTGTCAAAAGCTCAGTAATCGAGATAACAGTTCTTTATGAAAAAGATTAATGCCCAAAGTTCTTGATAAATAAAATATCACCATTTGAAATAAAAGGTTCTGGCAATCTTTGAATTGGCAGCTCTAGAACAAGCACACGTGAATCAAGAGTTTTTCGTAGTTATTCAGAAACCGATCATTTCCAATGAATCACTGGGCTTCCTCTCAGGGAAGAGACTAGCCACAGAGTCAACATGACCCCAAGTCTCCTTGGATCTGGGCTTAGTGACCATGTCCTGCTATATGTTCAAAGTGCATTATCTATGTGTATGACAATGTCATGATGAAACCTATTATTTTGTACAATTAATATACTCTGATAAATATTTTAAAACAAAAGAAACCAAACAACTAACTAGCTAAAGAAACAAATAAAAAGGCCAAGCTATAAATGCAACTTTCTCCCTTGGGCAGCAGGTACACAGGATTCTAGCTGAATAAAAGGGACCACCACAGGGCTGGGAAGGTGGCTCAGTGGTAGAGTGCTTGCCTTGCATGCATGAGGCCCTGAGTTTGATTCTTCAGCACCACATAAGCAGAAAAAGTAGGAAGTGACACGGTGGCTCAAGTGGTAGAGCGCTGGCCTTGAGCTGAAGAGCTGAGGGACAGCACCCAGGCCCAGAGTTCAGGCCCCACGACTGGCCAAAACAAAAAGGGGGGATCACCACAGCTTGTTATATTAAAAAATAATCTGGAAGAATGAATTCATATTCTTTCAAGTTCCATAATGTCTTGTGGTTGTATCATTGATACAGTGCAGCATTTGCTTTAGGTAAAAGTAATGAAGATGGAAACAGTAAAGGAATAAGAGGGAAAAGAGGAAAAAAAGACATATGATGAGTCAAAGAGATACTCCGCAGTTACTGTAGGGAGGCTGACACCTGGCCAACAGCGATGAACCACGTGATGGGGAAGAAGTCTAGGGCAGCGATGAAAGAACAGCAGATGTGACCATTTCTACATGACCGTCCTGCAATTGAAACCCACATTTACTGAGTACCAAGTATGGGGCAGACTGAGCATCAGACTCAAGAGATATGCACATTGAATATATTGCCTTCAACGTGTTTAAATTCTGGCTTTAGCTGAGGCTGAAAAACTTGGAAAGGCTAATCAATAAGCGTAACCTACATTCGTTGAAAGAGTATGCTCTGCAATGTGCAGTTAATAGGGAAGTGGAGGAATAATGGTGAAGGAATGAGGCACCTGAATCTCATTCAGGACAGTCTATATCAACCCCTGAAAGGTCATTTGCTGGCCCCTCATCTTTAGCTTAATTACTAAACAATTTCCAAGAGGGTGGCTGGGAAGGTGGCTCAGCGGTAGAGCGCTTGCCTTGCATGCCTGAGGCCCTGGGTTCGATTCCTCAGCACCACATAAGAGAAAAGCCGGAAGTGGCTTGTGGCTCAAGTGGTAGAGCGCTAGCCTTGAGCTGAAGAGCTCAGGGACAGCGCCCAGGCCCAGAGTTCAGGTCCCACGACCGGACCAAAAAAAAAACAATTTCCAAGAGGGTAATCTTATGGAAGCTAAGTGCTATACCAACAGCTTTGATGTTGGGGTCCACAGCAGTGGAGTTATTCTATTCTTCATGCTGGGATTGGAAGCTGAGCTTTACCTTTTCAGCTTTCTTACTTGCCACCAGTCCGGGCACTCTTCTCTTGGAATATAACGCATGTTGACATTTGGCTGGGAAACATAGCTTCTCTTTGAGTCGACGTCATGCTGAGGTAGAATGGTACTTGAAGATGGTGTATTCATTTGAAGAATAGGAACTGCCCGTGGAATCTTCAGCTTTGAAGGACAAGAGATTTAAGTGTAACACAGTGAGGCACAGATTCACAAACTGAACACAGACAACTGAAGCATTTTGAGTCTTAACTAGACAAAAAATGAGGAAGTAAAGAAAAAAGGAAGGAAAAGAGGCAATAGTATTTGCAAGGCTTTCAGAGCACCTGTAATCATACTTTTGCTGATTGGAGTAGGAGGTGTTAAAACCACATTGGAAACTCATTCGTGGAAGAACTAAAAGGTGGATGCATGACTCTGAAATTATACGCACAGATGCTCAACAGTGAAGCCTACAGATGTGTGAAACAATGTTTATATCAGAATCATTTTGATTGGATAAAATTGGAAACTGTCAGAGTGTTCTTTAAGAAGATAAAATAACAAATATAGTGGTTGCAATAAGATGACTTATAGCTGCCAAAAGGTGTTCGTGTCCCAATTCTCAGAACCTGACAAAAAGGACTTTGCAGGTTCTGATCACATTAAGACATCTGAAATGGGAAGATAATTCTGGATTCTTGAGACGAGTCTGATATAATCAGAAGGGCAGTTTATAAAAGGGAAGCAAGTTGGTAAAGAATTAGAAAGGTAACATGAGGATAGAAGCAGAGGTCAGAGAGGCGAGAAGCTGCTACCCTACTGACAGTGAAGGTGGAGGAAGGGACCATGAACCAATGAATGCAGGCAGCCTTCAGAAGCTGGTGAAAGCAAGGAAACAGATTCCCCTCAAGTCTATAGGAGAAACACAGCTGTACTGACCCATTTTATGTTTCTTTAAGCCACTGAATTTGCAGCAATTTGTTAGAACAACAATAAGAAAATAATATAGTGGTAAATTCAGGCAAAAGAATTTATGAACAATAAAAAAATAAATCAGGACTACATATTAAAATTTAAGTATCTTAGAAGCTAAACAAAGAAGACAGGCAACGAGTGACTATATTCTATTTATATAAAGCTCAAGAGGAGGGATACAACCTATGATGTTGTAAGTCAGGATACCAATTATTCTTGGCAGGATGAAGTGACTGGAAGAGACTATGAGGGTGGCCCTGGGGTGCTGTCATGTTCTGTTTCTTAACCTGAGTCTGTCTTATGCAGATGTGTTTAGTTCGTGAAAATTTATCAAAATGAACACAAGGTTTCTAAGTGTACATTGTATTTTTAGTAATTCATTTTGTGTGTGAGCATGCTCTAAATATATTTTTTCACATTGTGTTTTGTTTTGTTCGGGAATTTCACTATTTAGAGTTGAGGCTTCCACATTTTGGAAACGTGAGTTGTGTAAGAGAAACACACTGAAAAGTTCCTTAAATGGAAATCTGAACAGAATGGCTGGTAAGCTGATTTTTACTTCCATCTTGTACATAATGAGTTCTCTATCGAGTGCTCTGGTTCTCACAAAACAAAGGGAAATATGTTTTTTCACAATACCCTCTCTGATGCCCGGTTCATTTGGACAGCTGATAATCAAAACAAGCTTAGGAACCCTGGGTCACTGATTTGCTTGAGTGATAATTTTCAAAACCTTTCCCAAGGAATTCCTTGTCAGAGATGAGATGCAATGGGTTCTAGCTCCTAAATTATCCTTTGTACATAGATTTGCTTAAAGCAAACTGTATGGGGAATTGATATATGTAAGTGTAGAATTATGTGATCTTTACTAATTGTATCAAGTTGTGTAACATGACCACAATCCAGGCCTAGCATACTTCCATTGTCACAATAAGACTTCATTTCTGTTCTGGCCCAATAGCAAAGTACAAGCTGTAAATCATCAGAGTCGTTTTGTAGGTTTCTCATAAAAAAAATTCCCACACATTTAGTGGGAAGGCCAAAAGCACAAAATCAAGGATTGCTAATGGCCATTCTCTTTCTGAAGGCTCAAGGGTACATTTCCTTTCCTCTTTTGGTTTCTGGTGGGTATAGAGGTTTATCAGCTTGTAGGATCCGAATTCCACACTCTACCTAAGTCTTTTCATGGTCCTCTTCTCTATGTACTCTCATCTTCGGACAAGGACACCAGTCTTTGGATTTAGGGCCTGCTCTCAAACCTGTATGATTTATTTGATCTTTAGCAATAAATTATGTCTATAAAAATCTGTTTCCAAATAAATTCAAGTTTATTATTTTTTTTTGGGCAGTTGTGGGGTTTGAACTTGGGACCTGAGCACTGTCCCTGAGCTCTTTTGCTCAAGGCTAACACCCTACCACTTTGAGCTACAGCGCCACTTCCAGTTTTCTAGTCGTTAACTGGAGATAGAAGTCTCATGCACTTTCCTACCCAGGATGGCTTCGAACTGCAATTCTCAGATTTCAGCTATCTGAGTAGTTAGGATTACAAGTGTGAGCCACCAGTGCCTGGCCTAAAGTCAAATTTTTTATCTTCTCTGTGAACTTTTATTTTTTGGTTGGTTGTAGGGCTTGAACTGGGCCTGAGCACTGTCCCTCAGCAATTCAGCTCAAGGCGAGCGCTCTACCACTTGAGCTACTGCGCCACTTCTGGTTTACTGGAGATAAGAGTCTCACAGACTTTTCTGCCCGGGCTGGCTTTGAACCAGGATCCTCAGATCTCAGCTTCCTCAGTAGCTAGGATAATAGGCGTGAGCCACCAGCACCCAGCATGAACCTGAAACTTGGGATGTTATTCAATCTATGACACTAGTAGATTATTTTTTCCTTCATGATGGTTCACAAAAAATATGGTTTTTATTTAGAGAGAACAGTGAATGTGTGTGGCTGAAAAATCAGTACCCAAGATCTCATAGACTAGTTTTGGGTGCATGTGGGAAGGTCTTATTATGCTCAGATGTGCCTTCACAAAACCAATGCAAGTGTCTCCTGGCATTTGAGGAGAATGACCCCTACACCTGCCTGGGAAGCATAAAAGCAGAATGCTGTCATTCTAAATTGAAAAAAGCAGAGCCACCATAGTACAACAGTACTGGGAGAATATTTGCCTTCCGATAGACTAACTCTACCCTTGGGAAAGAGTTGGCTAGGACCCAATTTAAAGCAAACTCTGTCTAAGATGGGTGAATTGACTCAGTGGAAAGGTTGAGGGCTGAAAAATAGCCTAGAGCCAATTGTTCGTATGTCACTCTTCTGGGAAACATAAAATTCTCATATCAGATACCCACTGGAAAACTCACTCACATGCTACCCTTACCAAATCATAATAGGACCAGCTATGTATGATCATCTCTTTGTCATTAAATACTTTATTCCTTGATTCTAACTCTGAAAGAGTAAACAATCCAAGTTTCTCTGTGATATCCCCCCTCAAACCAGCTGCCAGCTGATACAGGCTAAAGCAAGGTAAACAGGAGAGGTTGTAACATAGAATGTTTAGAGCCATAAAATTATAACATTGGATAAGACACTTTAGAGGTTGTTCTCATGTCTATTAGTCACTGGAGATATTTTTTTTCTTTTTCTTTTTGCCAGTCCTGGGGCTTGAACTCTGGGCCTGGGCACTGTCCCCGAGCTTCTTTTTGCTCAAGGCTAGCATTCTACCACTTGAGCCACAGTGTCACTTCCAGCTTTTTCTCTTTATGTGGTGCTGAGGAATGGAACCCAGGGCTGCATGCATGCTAGGCAAGCACTCTACCTCTAAGCCACATTCCCAGCCCACTGGGGACATTTTTATGATCTGAGAGTGATTGGAAAACTGCCTAAAAAAGAAATCCCACTGAGTGGCTTTGAAGAAATAATGTAGTTAAAGAATTACATTTTTTCCAGGTGCTGGTGTCGCATGTCTATAATCCTAGGTACTCAGGAGGCTGAGATCTGAGGATCACAGTTCAAAGCCAGCCCAGGCAGGAAAGTCCGTGAGATTCTTATCTCCAATAAACCACTCAGAAAACTGGATGTGGAGCAGTGGCTCATGTAGTAGAGCACTAGCCTTGAGCTGAAGAGCTGAGGGACAGTGCCCAGGCCCAGAGTTCAGGCCCCACAACTGCATATATATATATATATATACACACACATACATTTTTACAAATAACTGTGCCCCATGGAATCCCATTCCATCACTAGGATAAGTCCATGAGGCAGTCTTGGCCATGCTAGTGGTAGGGAAAGAAGGACAGCTAATTGCCCTTACCAGTTATATATGATATCATCTTAAAGACTTACCTCACATGCACCTACTATAAATGAAAACCATAGTTTTTTTCTTTGTTGAAAAATCTGCATCAAATTTTCCAGCCTGTGTGTGTGTTTGTGTGTGTGTGTGTGTGTGTGTGTGTGTGTGTGTGCCAATCCTGAGGCCAGGACTCAGAAACTGAGCACTCTCCATGAGCTTTGTGGCTCAAGGCTAGCACTATACAACTCGACTCACAACTGCATTTTATTTTCTAGTTTTGAATCTGGCATCTCTTGGTTTATTTAATCCATTAAGACCTCAAAAACATTTTTAAATGTTGACTTACCACTCTGTCTGGGAAAATGGGAGCTCTGTGTTTCTCTTCATTGGCTGCAACATTCAAATCAGCATCTGAAAAGTAAAACCAAATAATGTTAGAAAGAACTTTAAATAAAATGTAGCAAAAAATACCCAATGCTAAGAATTAAAAGATCAAACCAGCTTATCCAAACAACATTCTAGATGTGCAGAATTTGGACACATTCAGTGTGATTCTATAGCTTTCTTTTCAGAATGTTCAACTCTAATTCTTCTTTGGCTCATACAACATACTTTGATAAGTATGTAAAAACAATATGTAAGTGCTGAATATATAAATATATGCTTTTTATGTTCTTATGATAATTGATTTTTTCATTCCACTCTCACATGGAAATAGATGTTGAAGCTCTAAAGTCACTATATTTGCCTTTTGGTGAGGTTGTCATATAGTTTACTGGCCAAACTTGAATCCCTAACAGATGATCAAGCATAAAATCAAAATGTTCCAAACCAACTGGGGTATGTGACTAATCTACTTAGAGGCCATGACTCCTGTAAAGAGGGTGGACAAGGGTATCCTGGCTACAGAAAGCAGCAATGTGTTTCTTTTCTAGTCCATGTGCCCATGGGCTGCACATCAGAGGAAGGCAAGAGAGAACATTATACTTGGGCAGATAAAAAATATCACAGCTGCTCATGAGTCACAATACATCTGCACTTCACAATTATCCTGAGTCTGGCACGGAAACTGTAGCACCCAGGACTACTTGTGGGGAATGCTACGAAGGTGGAGCCTATGAAATGAATTCCAGTGTACTACATTCTCCACCCTTTTATGGCTCTTTCCCGGAGAGGTAGGGCAAGGTCTGAGCTGTAATCTGTCCTGATAGCCAAGGATGCCAGATCACAGATAGAACCACTGGGGAAAATGATTAATATTGTAAGAAAACACTGTTCCTTAACTCTTTATAGTGGCAAGAAGGCCTCCCTACATGAACTAAAATTTGTATAGTTCAATAAATGACTATAATTCACCAGTATAAAGAAAAATGTGTTCTAATTGAGATAAATATTCATTTCCCAGTCTGAGGCAGAAAAAGTGAATATTTATTTATTGTTGTTTACATTGATGTTTTTGATAAAATTACCAGTAGTAATATTCATACCTTTGTTGGTTAACAAAATTGTTATGGGCTGGATTTGAATAATTCATGTAAATATCTGCGTTCAAGTTGATGAAATACTATCATTTCATACCCTTTGCGGATATCCATTATTTACATCCAGCGTAATACGGGCATATTTTGTCCAGACTGGAGAAAATGCTACTAAAATAGTTGTTCCTTTTTAAATTTATCAACATCATGCCATTAAATAATTATACACTTTTTAAAGTTACAATATGTTATATAATCTAGAGACCTCATTTCCCTGGGAATAACACTGAATAGTATCTGTTTGTACCTTTAAAAAATTAACAGACCACCAGGTGCTGGTGGCTCAGACCTGTAATTGTAGCTACTCAGGAGGCTGAGATCTAAGAATTGTAGTTCAAAGCCACCACAGAAGTGGTGCTACAGTTTAAGTGGTAGACTACTGGCCTTGAGCACAAAAACTAAGTGACAGCGCCCTGGCCCTGAGTTCAAGCCCCAGAAGCAGCAAAAAAATACCAACACACTTGTTTAGGATGGCGAGTCACTTTAAACATGTCTTTAAAAATTTTAGCCAGTATGTTTGTATATACAGAGATTAAAAGTATTATTTAAATTTCTTGCTACATATCTGAAAAGAAAATTGGATTTTTGTTTATGGTTTTTTATTTATAATGAGAAGAGGGAGATGAGGTTTTTTTGATAGGTTCTCACTATGCAAACTCCAGATTTCTCTACTTCAGCCTCTTATATATTGGGATTACAGGTGTGCACCACCATGCCCAGCTTTGATTCACTTATCAAGTGCAAAATTCAGTTGTTTAAACCATCTTGGTATGTTTGCCACATTTTCTGTCCTTGGGCTTATTTTAAACTAGAAACAATTATGTAAGAAAGTAACAGATCATTGCTTAAAATATTTCTCATGGGAAAAAAAGGCATACAGTAATGTCATTATTTTCCTTGACACTGAAATTAGACTTCATTCGCAACATAGCCTCTGCAAGGCTAGATTTTCATGATACCAACGAATATGGCCCATTTTGTTGCCTGAATAGTTATTTTAGTGTCTGGCAGATTTGGTTGACTGAGCCAGATTAACAAGGGATCACACATTACATGCTTCCCAGAGAGTACATCCCGGGGCCGCTTTGCAGCTCTGCTGGCAGCACAGGAACTTCCCATCCACGAAGAATCCACTGTGGTACTTGATGAGCAGGTGTGGGTTGCCCCTTATCTCTGAGGAGCAGGAAGGATACAAGATATAAGTACGCGTTGGCCCAAAAGAAGAAACACATTCAGAAAGCACTGCCATTATACAATAACCAAAACCGCTTTCTGTCTACAGCCAAGGTAACAGCCAATAGTTCCCAAAGTATATAACTCTTTAACCCCAAAGTTAATAAACCAAAAAGAATAAAGGATAATCTTTGCACATATAAAGTGAGAAAACCATAATAACTCATCATCCATAATTTTTTAAAAAGTTAGTTAAAAATGCATACACTGCTGGGCACCAGTGGCTCACACCTATTAATCCTAGCTACTCAGGAGGCTAAGATCTGAGGATCATGGTCCAAAGCCAACCTGGGCAGGAAAGGCTGTGAGACTCATCTCCAATAAATCACTCAGAAAGCTGGAAGTGGCGCTGTGGCTCAAGTGGTAGAGCACTGGCCTTGAGCTGAAGAGCTTAGGGGCAGTGTCCAGGCCCGGAGTTCAAGCCCCACGACCACTTGCCTTGCATGCATGAGGCCCTGGGTTTGATTCCTCAGCACCACATAAGCAAAAGAAAAAAGCCGGAAGTGGTGCTGTGGCTCAAGTGGTAGAGTGCTAGCCTTGAGCTGAAGAACTGAGGGACAGCACCCAGGCCCAGAGTTCAGGCCCCATGACCAGACCCCAACAAACAAACAAACAAACAAATAATGGGTTACACCATATGGCATTCTCTTGTGACAAGACATTAGCTGATAGGACTAGAGCTTAGTTAAAAAGTTCTAATGGATTTGGGCGCTGGTGGCTCACGCCTGTAAACCTAGCTACTCAGGAAGCTGAGAGCTTAGGATCTCACGTCCAAGCCAGCCTGTGTAGAAAATTCCATGAGACTGAGGTCCAGGTAAACAGCATAAACCTAGAAGTGGAGGTGTGGTTCAAGTGTAAGAGAACCAGTCTGGAGTGAAAAAGCCAAGTGAGAGCACACGATCCTTCCTACTGCATTCACGTGGTTATAGGCAAAGGGAAATTTCTCTCCCCAAATGGATCACTCGACTATCACTACAGAATTATTCATTAAACCCTTTCTTGCAAAGGAAAAACTAAGCCTTATATGAAAACAAAGATAATGTTTGAATCAAAGTATATGTGAGTATAATTTCAGATACAGTGAGAAAGAGCTAGAATTTAAAATTTAATAAAATAAAAAATAAACGTTTCCTGTACAAATACAGCAATTCATTTGGTAAGTGTTCTGCCCATATCATTATCCACCTTCAAAATAAAAAAAAACTTCTCAGTGCCAAATTATTAATGACAATTTTTTTCTTTTTCAAAGATTGTTACGATGGCAGCATAAAACAATCAGTGAATACAAGCTGCTTTAAATCTCTAGTTTTGCCTAATGTCTGGTTTTGGTTTGCTTGTTTGTTTTACAAAGTACTAGTTAAAATGGAGTTTGGGTAATTGAGCTGTGAGTCTCATTATTAGATTTTAAATACTGGACTTTTTTGGTTATTGTTCACTCATTTAAAAGTAGACAATAATATTATCCCTTCCTATACAGTTGTCAAGAGGACAACTGTATTGATTATTAGAATTATTAATAAAGATTCTGGCAAGTAAGTGGTAAAGTGCTTAGTAAGTGTTAGATATAGTTTTCTCTAAACAATGCAGGACCTGACAGAGTTCCAAGAAGACCTAGACTTTGCACTGGTACAGCTGAGCCCAGGGGTGGAGAGCAGGTGAAATGCTTTCCCAGAGCTGCTGGGAACACACAATAACCAGCTCTGTGCTGAGCGGATGGGAATCTGATCCACAGACTTGCTGTCTGCAAGCATGAGAATACAAAATGTGGATGAGTCTGGTACATTCTTTAAGTTTAGTAGAAAAATCTGGGGTCCTTTTACTGCTCTATCTTTTCTCCACAAGTCAATCTAGCACTGTCTTTTCTGAGTTTTCAATTACCTTTTTGTAATGCTGTCAGCCACTGACTTCTGCTCTCTTCATTGGATGCATAGACATAGAGAAGCCCATCTTTATACACAATCTGGAAAGGAAAGGAAAAGATGTAACACACTTTGATATAATAAAATCGTATGTCACTTGGGCACTTTTGCATAGTCCAAATATATATAATGAGTATATACATTTAGTATACATTCTAATATTTATATGTTTATATATGCACTCATTCTATATTCAAAACTAATATATATCCATATATAAATTCCATATGCTTTTGAATATATCTTTTATATTCATATACATTAGTCATTATATTAATTATATATTCACATATATTTATTACATTACAAAGCATATATATGAATATATATTATTCGTATTATCTAATTACAAAGCATATATATATGGAATATGCATATATATGTTTGGGATTAGATAAAAAGCAATTTGCAGTTTTTGAATCTCCCATCCCTCAATTCGTTTTATCCTAGATACTTCAGTACAATCGGAAAATCATAGCAATAAAGAAAGAGGTGAATACTGAGATCTGTGTAGGGATGTACTGGACCATGGGGTTTTATAATTCTCTCCGTGTTACACATTACATATCGCTTCACAGTGTTCTGGTCAGTCTACTTAACCAGTGCACAGCTCCAGCCCATTGGAAAAATCTTTTAAGTGCTCTGCCTTAAAATTTCTCCAGGGACGGAGTGTCCTTTACTTTTCTAGGCCACGTTTGTCAGTTCTGATATACTCTGATCACTTTGAAGTTCATGCTTGCATTGAGTAAAACTATGCCTCCTTGTTACTTTGGTCTGTTGTATCATGGGGCACTCGAGTGGCCCCAGAATCCTATTCGTCAGGGCACTTGTTTAAATAATTGGAGGTTGCAATGTTCTTCCCAGATCTCTCTTCACCTTAGTCTCATTTATGAAAGAACTATTAATTGCTGGGCTCTCTCTTAGCTACTTTAATCTTTTAATCATGTTTTAATTTATAAGATACCTATGAATACACCTTTTTCACAAATGAGAAAAGATAAATATATGTGTATGGCTATAAAATAACAATGGTAGGATTAAGGCTCTGCAGTGGTCCATAGCAGGTTCACTTTTGAGAACCCTGTTTCTCTTATGTCTATTTGCAGTCTCTTCTCTCAGCACACTTTTCCCTAGCTTCCCCCAATTGGAAAATATTTTTTTATAGCAGGAGGCATTGGCTGTTAACCAACTGGATTATCGTTATCACTTTTTTTTGCCATAGTTCTCTAATACTAGCACCAAGCAATCTAGCCACTTGAAGACAATCTACCTGCTTTTTAAATCAGAAAGGTACGAGTAGGTCATGACTTAGATCAAGACCCTTCCAAAAGGTATTGAACTCTCTAGCATATAGAATTGTTTAAGATGCTTTAAAGTAAAATCGCAATTCCTTGGCATGATGTGCAAACTTTCATGGTCCAGTCTAGCCCATTACCTTCCTCACCATGGATCGGCTTTCTTCAGGGGGATTATTTTTACCCATCAGTACTGTTTCTTTCAAACTGTTACCTCTCCTGCTGTTTGTTCTTCTCATCCTGCTGTAAGCAGCGAAGGTTCTGCTTCCTGGGGCACCACCGATGGATTGTGCCAACCTCTCTCTCAACACACCCCTGTTTCATTATAACAGTCTGTTTCTTAGTCTGTTTGGTCACGTAATGCAAATGCCTTTGGGAAGGGTCAATATTTTCTTCTGTTCTGTACTAAAAACACTTAACAATGTTTGTCAGAGCCAAGGCAAGTTAGACCACAAGAATGTGTCAGTTTACACATTCATCTTGCTTCCTTCTCTTCGGGGAAGGCAGATAGTTAGAAAGAATATTTGGCAAAATGTCCAGCTCTCATTTGGAAATATTCCAAGTCTTATCTCTCTCTCTCTCTCTCTCTCTCTCTCTGTGTGTGTGTGTGTGTGTGTGTGTGTGTGTGTGTGTGTGTGGTGTGTTTTGGTGGCTGTAGGGTTTGAACTCAAGGCCTTATGCTCACCAGGCTGGTGTACTACAACTTGTGGAGTGTATTTTGCTGGTTATTTTTGGAGTTGGAGTCTGGCAAACTTTTCTGCCCAGGCTGGCCTTGATGCTCGAGATCTCAGCTGCCTGAGTAGCTAGGCTTCCAGGTGTGAGCTCCTGGCACTTGGGTCTTATTATTGTCTTAATGAATCATTTGCAGTACCATTATTTCTCCTAGATATATTACATTCATAATACAAAATATTAAAGGGAGAATCATCAATCCAATGTAATATCACTTCTTTACCTGAAATGGGTATTGTCTTTCCACAGGAGTCTGCTCCTCCAGATTCACTTTCTCCACACATCTGATTTTCTTAATTTCAATTGATCCTTTTCTGCTGCCTCTTTTCTGTAATATATATATATATATATAGAGAGAGAGAGAGAGAGAGACAGAGACAGAGACAGAGACAGAGACAGAGACAGAGACAGAGAAAGGGAGGGAGAGCGGCTGGGTATGATTGTTTCCATCTATAATTCTAATAATTCCAGCTACTTGGGATGCATAGACAGAAAGAATTAATATTTGACATCAGCTTGGGCAAAAAGTAATTGAGAACTCATCTGAACTTACAGCTATGTAAAATGATCACATTCCGGGTGGGCCCAGGAAAAAATGTGAAAACTTATTTTTAAAAAAACCTTAAAGCAATAAGAACTAGAAGTGTGACTCAAGTGGTAGAGTTTCTGCCTTGTAAGTGCAAAGCATAAGTACTGAAAAAAATCACTCCTCCCACCAAATATAAATTACATCATATGGCATACTTTAGTGAACAAGGAAAACCATAAAGCTAAAGTTTTGCATAGAAGGGAGACTGGGGCTTGGGGTGGTAGGGGAAAATTACTTCCCATTACTTGGTAATAGTAAAAAAAAAAAATCTAAGCATAGGGCTGGGAAGTTGGTTCAGTGGTAGAATGCTTGCCTCATATGCATGAGGCCCTGGGTTCGATTCCTCAGCACCACATAAGCAGAAAAAAGCCAGAAGTGGCACTATGGCTCAAGTGGTAGGGTGCTAGCCTTGAGCTGAAGAGCTGAGGGACAGTGCCCAGGCCCAGAGTTCAGCCCCCACGACCAACACAAAAAAAATCTAAGCATAGAATATTTTCTTGAGTGTGATCATAAACATATAGTCCTTCAAGAGCAAGTGGTTAAGGAAGAGTTAATACTCTTGCTCGAGAATTGGAAAATGTTTCTCAAGTCACTTCCCATGAGGTAAACATAGTCAGGAAAGTCAAGATGTAATTCTGCAAAGCATCTATGCTTTGATTCAGTTTAATGATAGTATTTCAGTATTTCTAATATGATAGAATTTTCAACTGTACTAAGATCATCTTATTTCCAAAACTGTTTAAATTTCAGGCATCATTTTGGATCCTTAGTGCTCATAACACGTGGGGCTGGAAAAATCTTTGCTGTGGGAATGGTTGTGCACATTGTAGGATCTTTGGTCACATTCCTAGCATCTACGCACTGCACTCCAGTAGCTCTTATCCCTTCCCCCAGAAGAAGTTATGCCAACAAAAATGTCTCCAGCCATTGACCAATATTCCTCAGGACACAAAAATATGCTCCCATTGAGGTTTAATTCATTTTAGTAAAGTTTAATATTACAAAATCCTTTATCTTGAATTTATTATACATTGTGTAAGCAAAGGCAATGTAATAAGTAGATGGGGGTCATCTTTATTGAAGAAGTGAGGAAATCTGATATTTTTCACCTGGTCAAAGACTTTGTAGAGAGTTAGGAAAGATAATAAATACTATGAAGGCAACAGAGTAAGTGGAGACTCACCATTTTGTCATATTCATAGTAAGAAAGATTTGTTTTGGTCAAAACGAAAAGGCGCTCTTTGTAATTATTTGGTGACATTTTCTTCTTTTGTTGTGACCTTTTGAGAAGAAGTTCTTCAAGAATGGATTTTGTGTTCATACTATCGTCCTAAATCAAATCAAATCAAAGAATTAAACTGATTGAGACATCTACGTGGCTTTTCTCTTTTAGCCTCCCTATATCTTACTTGACTGTTTTTCCTTCGGGGATAAGATAAATGCTAACTTCTATAAAGAAGATTCCTTAAGATTATTTAACAAACTGAACACACATCTATACTTATTTGTTTCCCTACTGGTATTGTTCTGAGGTTCTGTAAACTTGTTGATTTACAAGACTCTCTCATACATTCACACACCTTCTACTCTGGATCTACCATCATTATACCATCCTCTGGACTGCCTTATCTGAATGCCCTTTACTCAATATTCTAACAGTTTTTGTTGAATTGACTAGGATATAATAAGACTCTAAAAATTATACTTCAGGTAGCTCACCAGGAATGAAGGCATTGATCATCGGAATCTTCCCTCTGTTACTGTGGCCAATAGATTGAGCAAATTATCCAAGTCATCATGAGTCACCTCATCCCCTGATCATGACCAGATGTTAGACACAACGAACATGAGTATCATTTAAAATACCTTCAGAGAATTTTAAGTCCAAGTGAATACTCAAGAGAGTATAATGGGAGGAAGCTAAGTTATCAAAGTGATACAGAAGAAGCACAAAAATCAATATATTTTTACAAAGTAAAAACAGCCTTACTTTTTATTTTAAAACCATGGAAGACATTAAGCCTTACAGCATTTCTACAAAAATAAATGCCTTAATTTTCTTCAGTTGAAGTTTAATTCGCTTTAGCAAAGTTAACTAATGTGTTTAAATTCTTTATTCTAATTTTATCTTAATGTTTATCTTTATTTTTCTCATTCTACTGAATTTTAGTATCAGTCTCAGTCTGATAATGAAAAATTGCAATGGTAAACGGTGGACCACAGCCATTATGTTTAGTATTTTCTTTTCCCTTTGGCTTATGAAACTGCATTACAATTTGCAGTTTGAAGCCCAATACTTAAAACCTTTGTTTGATGCTCTGAATAGCAGTAACTTTACTCACCTTAAACTCTCTGCAGCCAAAGTTGATCCGTGTGTCTAAAGCTCAAAGCAATAGTCACTGCTCTGAAGCACCATCACTCACATTACCTCTCACTATGCCAGGTCGTGCATTATGAAAACAGATATTTGCATCCTAGTTAGCACTGTTGATCAGGAAGTACCCATACAGAGTGTTCTCTGGAGAAAGGCTGGTGCTAAGGAAATCCATCCAATCACAAGAGGGCATTTCCCATGGGGGTAGAGTGAAAAGGAGACTAAGAAAGACAGCCTGGTGTTGAAGAAACCACCACAAGTCTCAGCCTCTTCCTTCCTAATACAAGCTGCATAACTCTAAAACAAGAAGTTTTGCAATATACATAGGTTGAGAGACTATTTGAATATCCCAAGTATCCTGTAAGGGTATTGTTTGATTTATGGACAGAAGTGGTAGAAATCTTACGCATTTGACATAATGAAATCTTGGTCATTTTTTTCTACTGGATATTGTTTATTTTTTTTCAATGGGATAATTCTTTTATAAAAGTAATCATACAATGGATTTCTTTTTAGCACAATGGGTGCTATTCACTGTGTCTACTGCTTTTTTTTTTTGGCTTGGGGCTAGAAAACGGTAAAATGAGGGTGTCATGGAGCCAGCAGGACCGGAGGAAGCAGGTATCAGGCCTGCCTTTCATCTCTGCTTTCACTGGAAATTTCACACAGATGCTTGCCCAGATAAGCATATTTTCTACATGCAGAATCTATGACTAGAAGATAATTTACTTGAAAATGGAAGCTATGATGCTATACTTTTTGTGACTTATAGACTCTTTGGAGGGAGTTGAACACTAGACAGAGTTATAGAACACTTTTTTGGATCGATTGTGGGACTTGAACTCAGGGTCTGGATGCTGCTTCTGAGTTCTTTTGCTTTTTTTTTTGTCAGTCATGGAACTTGAACTCTGGGCCTGGGCACTGTCCCTTAGCTCTTCAGCTCAAGGCAAGTGCTCTACCACTTGAGTCACAGCACCAGTTCCGGTTTTCTGAGTGGTTTATTGGAGATAAGAATCTCTCAGACTTTCCTGTCTGGGATGGCTTTGAACAGCAATCCTCAGATCTCAGCCTCCTGAATAGCTAGGATGACAGGCATGAGCCACCAGAACCCAGCTTCTTTTGCTCTTTTGCACTCTACCACTTTGAGCCACAGCTCCACTTCTAGTTTTCTGGTGGTTAATTGAAGAGAAAAGTCTCACCAGACTTTCCTGTCCAGGCTAGCTTTGAACTGTGATCCACAGATAGCAGCCTCTTGAGTAGCTAGGATTAAAGGCCAGGACCCAGCTAGAACACTTTTCTATAGTTATGTTTCTACATTTTAAAACTACAAAGAAAGCAGAAAGAGAATATTGTAAAACAAACAAACAAACAACTCTTGCCAAATTTAGGTGTATAGCTAGTCAAAAGCTAATTCCTTAAAGTAGTGTGCTAGCATGTGTCTGTAACCTGTTGTTGTCATGTGACAAACACTTGCAGCCACATGCATTGAAGTTCTATCCAGGAAAGCCAGACCATCAAAGCTTTACTCCCTGAGGTGTGCTCGGAGGCTTCTTTTAAAAACTTGATGAGCCCTGTTTTGAGGATTTATGCTATTGTCAACACCAGATCAGTTTCCTCTAAGTCAAAGGAAGCTTATACCTATCTTTCTCCTTCTATTTGTTCCTTCTGAATACTTCCCCTTTCTCTTCCATATAGTCTGGATGGCAGGTATATGGTATCAGGTCATATGGTATCAGAAAGTAGGACTGGTGGTGATTCCTATGTAAAAATGTTAAGTCTCTTTTGATGATTCCTATGTAGAAATATTATGTCCCTTTGCTTTCATTATGGTGGTACCAAAACAGAACTCAGGTACAATCGTCTACTCAAATGCTTGTCCAGAGACTAGAAGACTCTTGCTCTGCCCATCCTTATTTAAGAAAAGTTCAATTGGGAAGGTAAATGAAAAATCATCTCTTTTAAAATAAAAGGAGTTCCTAAACTTAGTATTAAAGAAAATGTATTTCCATAGAGGCTCTGGAAGGAATTGGCTAGACTCTCATATCGACATGTACAAAGAATAGAAACATTGATTTGCTTACCAAATATCCCACACTGCCTATTTCCATAAGCACATGAAACTAGAGAGAGATTAAAACCCAGCGGAGGCAAAACAAAGCCTAAAAACCAATACCTAGCAGAAATTAATACTGAATTTTGTACAAGGGATCTGGTTACCATTATAGAACCTATACCAATCATATAAGAGGCATGTTAAATTAAAATGACTCACAATCACTAAAGCTATTTAGACTGTATGAAAATAAGAAAGTCAGTTTAGAGGTTCTATTTTGCACAACCGACTTTAAACTTGAAGTATGCCCAATACTGAGTTGTTGCTTCCAGAAATAAAGTTCATATTTCCATAGCCCTGAGTGTCAACAAACAAGTTTAAGGGAGGTTTAATAACTAATCAATATGTAAGACTGCTATGGGGTGGTAGACTCAGAAGGCTTCAAGGATATTACATGACTTTCACTTGTCAGCCTGATTATCCTGACTAAGTCCCTTTTATACTCTAAAGTTCATAAAAAATGCAAAACCCTATGGGAAAATACTTGGTATGCTGTAGGCCAACTATTTGATTTCAAATCATGAATTTAAAAAGAAATAGCTGGGCACCAGTGGCTCATGCCTGTAATCCTAGCTACTCAATAGGTTAATGTCTAAGGATTGTAGTTCAAAGCCAGCCTGGACAGGAAAGTCCATGAGACTTTTCTCTCCAATTAACCAGAAAAAAAGAACTGGAAGTAAAGTGGGGGTATGGCTTAAGTGGTACAGCACTGGCATTGAACAAAAAAATCAGGGACAGTGCCCAGGCCCTGTGTTCAAGTCCCAGTACCAGTAGAAAATTAATTAATTAATTATAAAGAGCAGAGGTGGTAAGAATCAGTTCAAATGCTGCAGTGGAACTTGTTTACTGTAAAATATCTAAGGAAAAATAATTTTTCCGTTATGGGGGGGGCAGATAGTACTGAGGTTTGCAGCACTTCCTAGCTAAGGGTTCTTCCACCTGAGCCATGTCTCCAATTCCTCTTGCTTTTGTTATTTTTTGACGGAGTCCCTCTCTTTTTTTGAGGCGGGGGAGTGCAGATGGCTGCCTCAATCTTTCTACTTATACTTCTGGTGTAAGAATCTACCTTGCTTTTTATTGGTTGAAATGGGTTCTTGTGAACTTTTTGCCTAGGCCGGCTTTGGAAAATGACCACACACTTCCTGATCTCGGCTCCTCAGTAGCTACGGTTACTGGTATGATCCACTATGCCCAGATGAAAAACCTTGTTTTGTTTCCTTTAAAAAACAACAACAAAAAAACCCATGAAAGGTATTAATGTGAGGGAGGATGTGATCATTGAACTTTGAAGGATGAAAAAATGATTTTAGAAAGAATAATCGTAGGCAAATTTATGGAAAAATCACCACAGACTGCACATTTTTTAGAACACTTAACAAATGTCAAGGCTGGGCACCAGTGGCTCAAGCCTGTAATCCTAGCTACTTAGGAGGCTGAGATCTGAGGATCACGGTTCAAAGCCACCCGGGCAGGAAAGTCCTTGAGACTCTTATCTCCAATAAACCACCAGAAAACTGGAAATGGTGCTGTGGTTCAAGTGATAGAGTGCTAGTCTTGAGCTGAAGAGCGCAGGGAGAGAACTTAGGCCCAGAGTTCAAGCCCCACAACTGACAAAAAAAAAAAAAAGCTCAGGGACAGCATCCAAGCCCTGAGTTCAAGGCCCATGACTACAACCAACAACAACAAAAGTCACATTAGCTAAATGTGGTAGATCAGGAATTAGAATCCTGGCAGTCTAACCCCATAGCTTATATTCTTTTTTAAGGTTGGTCGTGGGGCTTGAACTCTGGGCTTGGGCGCTGTCCCTGCGCTCTTTCAGCTCAAGGAGAGCACTCTACTGCTTGAGCCACAGCGCCACTTCCTGCATAGCTCATATTCTTGACTCTGATACCAGTGGTAGAGAAGAACAAGCTTGCCTCCTAAACCAGAGAAGACCCTAACCTAAAGACAAGCAGGCAGCCTAGAAATCATTTCACATATGCAACACCGAGCCCCAGCAGCCTATAGAAATGAGGATGTTGAACCTATGACCTATGAATTAGGACCATGAATCTGTGACTGAAGAGACATAGTGCAGGGAGCCAGATGATGGTGTCCTGCGTGGCACACTGTCCACTCGATGGCAATAACACACTAAGTAAGGCATCCTATTGATGAAACAAACCTAAGTTTGGGTCTTCCCAGACCTGTGCAAAGGACCTTTTGAAGGGGCTTCCAGAAATATGTGACTTGTAAATAATGTTTCAAAGGAAACTTCAAGGCAGCATTAAATAGCAAAACTGGGTCGGAGGTGCAGCCTATAACAACATGTGCAAGACCCTGGATCGCAGAAAGATAGTAAAACTCCAACCCACATTTTGAAACCTGGTAAGAACTGGTAACTTCAAAAGTTGGGATCAAATTTAATTGGTACATAGGAGAAGAAGAAGGCAGAAAAGGGAGAAAGGTATATATGTGTGTGTGTGTGTGTATATATATATGTTGAGGGGATGGCTTCTTTAACCAGAGTTCCCTTGTTTTATGTGTGTGTGTGTGTGTGTGTGTGTGTGTGTGTGTGTGTGTGTGTGTGTATGATTAAAGAAGCCATTGCAGAGTTACCTCAACTAAAATAGTTTTTTTTTCCTGACTGGTTCAAGATGGTGGTGCTCTTAGAGCTGTAGCCTTTAGAATTGAGAGGCTAGGGAAGCAATTCTTTACCCCTTCTCACAGTTCAGTTATCTTCTTTCATTTTACATGTCATTTAGCTAAGAATCTGGAATGGCTCCCAGGGAGTAAAATAACACTTGTGCTGGGAAGGCAGTCAAGAGGAGAAGGATAGCAAGAGGAAATAGATGCTCCAAATACAGACTGCTTAAGGGTCTAAGAGGGAAACTGGAGGACCCTGTGCCAAACTTAATCTTCAGATATTCACACAAAGGCAGGTCTACTTATCATCCGGCTAAACAACTGAAAAAAATATGAGGGCTAGTTTAAACAGGAACAGAAAGCTCAACTCAGAATCAGGTGAAGTGGTGTATAATGCCGTAGGATGTTGGCCAATGACAAATACCAGCTCTGCAGAATCTGACAAACCTTTATTTCACATGATGTTATGCAGGCCAGAGAGAGTTACAGTTGGTCTTGGCTCTGTCATGGACAGAAACCTTCTAACATGAGTGCTCATATCCTTGGCATTTGGGAACATGGTGCTTTAATTGTTTCAAAATGAATGTACAAAAAAAAAGATCATTTTCTTCCAAAGAAAGAAGACAGAATTCCAATGCTATTGCTGTTGGTCCTAAAATTTGTCTTTGTTTTTTGTCTGAGATCAGTACTCCAACTTGGTACCTGATGCTTTTGTTCATTGGCTAGTGCTCTACCAATGGAGGAACCTCTTTCCTTCTGCTCTTTCCCCTCTGCCCAGAACATTACCTTCCTTAGAAGAAAAGCAAAAAGTGATAAATCTGTGAGAATTAGTTTAGTACAGAATATTGCTTCAGCTTTGCAGGCTACTTAGAAGGAAAGATCGTATTTCAATGAGTTTAAATCCTTGCTATGTTCCTGTGCAACCTGGCATGTATGTTACTTAAACCTACTAAACCTCAGCTTCCTCATCTATAAAGAGAGAAACAAAACAAAACAAAAACCAAGCCCAACAAACATAAAAAACCCCACTTCCATTTTGAGGAATCAAGAAAAACATGCAGTGTCCAGCACCCTAAGTAGATGCTCTAGAAATATGCTTTCTCCTTATCCCCCTAAGTAAAGCTTCCAATAACCCATAGGAAAGCTAAATGACTAAAGACAATGAAATAATCCTCAAAAATACAATGTCACTTCTCATCGTCTTAGGTAAAGCTTAAAATAAACCATAGCGATGTTAAAAGGCAGAAGACAAGTTAACTTTGAGAATACATAAGGACATCTTAAAATTGGGTTGAGCCAACCCTTTACTGACTGTATTTGTGTCATCATATGTCTTACAAAAGAACATATGCACCAGGCTCATGCTGGTGACCCAGGCCTGTGATCTTAGCTAGTCAGGAGACTGAGATCTGAAGATCATGGTTCAAAGCCAGCCTGGGCAGTAAAGTCTGTGAGATTCTGATTTCCAATTAACCACTAAAAAACCAGAAGTGGAGCTGTGGCTCAAGTAGTAGAGCACTAAGCTCGAGCAAAAAAGCTCAGGGACAGTACTTAGTCTCTGAGTTCAAGCCCCAGGACTGGCAGCAAATAAAAAAGAAAGAATGTATGTATGTTATTAAGGTGTGGTCTATGGACTGGCAGCACTAGCAACACTTCAGCAGGATCCCCAGGGGACCTGAGCACATGAGAAGCACTGATCTAGACTAAAATATAGTCCAATGAAATCATCATGGTCCACAAGAACATTGACATCACATAGACATGGATACTACTATGTAGTTTGTCTCCCTCTCATCGTTTAAGTCCATCTAAAATAGCCCCAAGTCTCCAACTGAAAGAGTTCAGAAACTTATGAACAAATATTTGTAGCTAAAATAACATATAAAGAGGAAGGCATGGCTAAAAATTCCTGTGTCATTTGAGAAGCAGACCCAGAGGCAATATGAAATACCCCAAAATGATAGCGCCCAAAGAATAGCATGGAGAAACATCAGCGGAAGAAACTGTTAGATCAAGCTGGTGATGACACGGGCACGATCTGGAGTGAGGTTTTTGGGCAAGGCAGTGAATTGACAATCCAAGGACAGCAGCTGAAACCTCTAGTCCCTTCCAAAGTTCGCAAGGAAGCCCCGCCAATTTCATGACCAGAATTGAGTCCATTTAGTCTCTTCTGATGGGTTCCCCCACATTTTGAAATCCTCAAGCCCCATAAGCCATAGACCTGAACTTATTCTCCTGTTGGGTGCCACACTCCATAGCCACCTGCCACTTAAACGTACCATTTTGGCTTGCTCCATCCCGGGTCCACCGCAGTGAAATCAATCTGTTCTTTCAGGAACTCAGTCTCTGCTGTCCTCCCTCTTTCCAGGCCCAGCAAATTGTTTTACATTTTCCCAGCTGCTGGGTCAGAAATGGCTACATTACTCAGTTCACCCCCCCCCCGCCACCCCATAGCTTTATTGTCCTGTAGTGCCTTACACAATCCCACAGGAAACCACGCTCTGCACTTAGCCAACACTTGTTGATCTGATTGAATGCAACAAAAACAGAGACGAAAGCTTATTTCATAATGGTTTCAACTCTGATGACTGCCTTTCCCAGGCCACTCATGGGTACATGTGATAACCCCACTTTTGTTTATAGAGCTCTGTTCTGGAAAGGACAAGAAAATATCTAGGCAAAAACCCGACCTCAGACGTTGACTTCTCTCCAAGGAGTCAGAGTCAGGAAACCATTAGGTAACACCAAAGTGCACAGAAAATAAGCAATGAAAACGTCGACTCAACACTTGAACAAAAGGAGTCCAAAGAGGGATACACGAGAAACCATACGAGAAACCAGTTAATATGACACCCAAGGAGCACATTTCCACAACTTCAATGGTTAAGAATCCAGAGATGGAAATATATAAACCAGATTACAGTGAAAAAGTGTGATTGTCTCTGTACATTGTTATGACAATATCCCACCAATTGGCTTTAAACATTCACTGTTTTCTCTGGTATACACTGGTTAGCCATGTATACTGAATCTAAGGATTTCCTTTTGTTCTGCTGTGGATATAGCACCCATCATTCATTTGGGGGCATGCATGGACACATTGTACACATTTATGAATTATGAGACACTTTGATTCATTCCTCAGCATCTAATATGTGATGAAGATCTGGGCTGGTGGAGAATAGTGGTGCTCCTGACCTTTAACGAACTATTATTTTGAAAGGAGACCCAGGATTACTATCATTTCTATTCATTCAGATGATCAAGTCTTACTTAGAGCCTGCCATGTGCTGACCATTCTGTTAGGCATTGGATATACAACAGAATACATGACAGTGGCAGCCCAGGTTTTCAGAGGATTTATGTCTAGAGAGGAAAGAGCCCAAGTAAAGGGTTACAGTAATGTGTGAAAAATAACAAATCAAGTGTATTTTCTTAAAATATTCCTATTTAGAAAATGGAATTTGGAGGAAGAAACACAGTCTTTCAGAGTATGGATTATACCTTAATAGCAAATCAAAGTCACTGATGAAATCCAAACAGTTGTCTATCTGCTAGGAAGAAATCTTCTCTGAAGAAGTAAAAATGACCAATAGACACATGAACAAATGCTCAACATTCTGACCATAAAGGAAATGCAAATCAAACAACACTGAGATTCTACTTTACCCCTGTTAGAATGGCTGCTATCAAAAAACTAAATGATATCAGGTGCTGGTGAGGATGCAGCCAAAAGAGAACCTTAATATAGTGTTGGAGGGAATGGAAACCTGTTCAACCACTCTGGAAAGCAGCGTGGAGGTTCCTCAAAAAAGCTAAACAGAGAAATACCCTATGATCCAGAAATTCTACTCCTGGGCATTTACCCAAAAGGTTATAAACCAGGTTACAGGAAAGCCACCAATACAACCATGGTTATTGCAGAATTATTCACCATATCCAAAGTGTGGAATCAGCCCAGATGCTCCTCAATGGATGAATGGATCAAGAAAATGTGGTATCTATACATAATAGAATTTTACTCATCCATCAGAAAGAATGATATTGTACTATTTGTAAAGAACTGGAGAGACCTGGGAAAATTCTGTTAAGTGACTTAAGACAGGCCCAGAGGAGCAAACGATGCATGTCATCCCTTATATGTGGAAGCTACATTTAATTTAGAGACTTATAAGCAAACATGTTGGGTGGTATGCAGGTGTATACAAATATATTCACGGAAATATGATAAATTCAAGGGGGATGTCAGATAGTGTAATTCCTTAGAAAGGCAAAGTCAAACTTTAGCAAAGTAAAACATCAGGAATTGGATCCTTGAAAGGGGTTGGGTAGGGTCAAGGGGAGAGGGGTAGATGCGCTTGAAGAGAAGAAGGGGAGAACGCAGTCAAGAATCCGATGTATACCTATAAAACTAAGAAGAGTGAGAGAAGGGGTGGATAGGGGAAGGAATGGTAAGAATTGAAAGGGGTGACAATGATCAAGATACGTTACATTCAAAAAAGTCTTTGTTAAAAGGCAACTCTTTGTACAACTGCTTAAAATTAGGCAGAAAAAGAAAAACAGGCACACATCCTATATTCTGTTAATTATCTTCCTTGCCCAGATGGTGATCTGTATTTACTTCACTGCTTATATATGGTTAGCATAGTAAGAGATCAATTTGAAAATAAAAAATAAACTTGAGAGAAAGGACTGGGTGGTATAACTGTGGAAACACCTGGGTACAATCTCTTGGGGTTTTTTCTGCCTTCTTGGGGCTTAAAACACTTCAAAAGCAGCTGGGAGGAGTGGTTTCCTCTAAGTCAAAATGTCACTGATTTATTTCATTGTTCTATTCATTCACTTCCTGTTACTTCTCCCAAGCCTCTTTCGTTGGCTCTGTATTTTCCATGTATTTAGTTAATTTCTAACTTTTGGCAACCTGCTCTTTCAATTGCATGATTTAATTCATTGGAATTATAGACTGCATTGTCAGCCTCCACCAGCGAGACACTTAAAACATTTTCTTTAAAACTTGTTCATGCAAGCCTGTGAGCAAGCAAAAGTCAAAGGGACATAGCTTGGGATGATTTGACATTATGACATGAACAAGCTTGTTCTCTTGTGCTTATAGTTTGAGAATAAGAAAGAAGCTGCCTGATACCATCCATTTTAGGTAGACAGAGTCAATCTTTCCCTTTGGGCTTGATAACTATTTTTGTCATTTATAAATTTTATTTGGCAGGTTTCAAGAATATCTATATGCTCACGATTCCAACTTTCAGCCAGGACCTCAACTCTGAATTCCAGACTCAACACACTGTCAATTTACATATTTATATTTGGAATATCTACTAGACCAGCGCTTTAACCAGCTAAGCCACGGAGCCAGCATGATCTGGAATATCTAATGAATCAGATTTAACATGGCCCAAAACAATCTCCCATTAACCCTCCTATAACTCTCCTCTTTGCAGCTAATAGCAACTCCATCCTTGTTCAGGTCAAACAAGGTGAATGGTAGACTACTAACCCTTTGAACTTAGGGCCTTAGGCTCGCTCAGTTTTTCCACTCATGGCTGGCATTCTCCCACTTGAGCCAAGTCTCCAGTACAGATTTTATTGTTTTGTTAAATGAAGAAGAGTCTCACCGACTTTCCTGCCCAGACTGATTTTGAACTTAGATCTTCAGATCTCAGCTACTTGATTAAAGTGTTCAGTCCTTTATAGTTCTATTTTCAAAAGATGTGTCACCAAATGTGGCCAATTTTCACTACCTCTGCTTCTACCTACTGGTCTAAATGATCACAAACCCTCTCCTGGAGTTTTGCATTAAACCACTTGACTTTTTCCCTTCATTCTGTCCTGATCCTCCTCAGTCTATTTCCAGTGAGTGGCCAGAGTGGTTCTTTTCAATGAAGTCAAGCTGGGCATGGTGGCACAGACCTAAAACCCCAGCACTTGAAAGTCTGAGGCAGAAAGATCTCAAAAAATCCAAGGACTAGACTGGTAGTATAGCTCAATGGTCTGTCCAAATCCCCTTGGTTCCATTCCTAACACTGGAAAATGAAGGAAGGAAGGGAGGGAGGAAGGAAGGGAGGAAGGGAGGGAGGAAGGAAGGGAGGAAGGGAGGGAGGAAGGGAGGGAGGGAGGGAGGAAGGAAGCAAGCAAGCAAGGAAGGAAGGAAGGAAGCAAGGAAGGGAGGGAGGGAGGGAAGGCAGGGAGGGAGGAAAATATGTAAGTTAAATCTGACCAATTCTGCACTCTGAATTCTCCAGTGGTCTCTCCTGATTCCCTAGTCCAGTAGGAAAATTTTCTCATGATTACTTCACATTATCACTCCTAAAACTGGATTCTTGCTATGTCTTCAATATTCTGAGGGCCTTTGCACTGGTAGCATCCTTGTTTTAATTGTGCCAGAAATCTGCCTAGCTCATTTACTGATCTCCAGGCTTCAAATAGACTACCCAGACCATTTGATTAAGTACTACAACCTCACCCCTAGCCAGTACACCCAATCTTCCTTCCCCCTCTACTTTATCTTTTTACCATAGTAACTATCATCTTATAACACAATGCGTGCTATACTTATTTTTTATTGCCTACGTCTTCTTCCTAAAGAGCCTACAAGAGCTCCAATAGCTTCTCTGTAGCCAGAGCCTTTTGTTTTCTGTAGGGTTCTCTTCTTTGGGGGTGTTGGTCTATCGCCTCCTGTACTCACACTCCTTCTGGTGCTAAAATCATCTGCTTGAAGGTTAGGATCTGATGTGAATCATGCACACTTACTGGTTAATGTATCAACTGTCCTGAGGATGCTTGCTTATCAAACCTTAGGTTCAGCAGTGGCCTTCATCTTAGGAAGAGAAAGTGGTAAGCAGGGATGGGGTGGTGGAAGAGTACCCCAAAAGGTTTGTTGGTTCATTTTGTTCTGACCTTCCCTGACATCTATGAAATCTCTGCATAGACTGTTGACATTTAGTAAGTCCTACTCCCAGATTTTAGTGGGAGGTAAAAATTTAGGGTCTAGAAGGGATTGGAAAATTGTTATCAACTGTTTTTTAAATTAAAGTTATTGGAATGGATCCACCATTTGTTTATGTATTATCTGGCTGTCTTCATTCTACAGTGGCAGAATTGAAGAGCTATGATAGAGACTGTATGCCTGCGAAGACTCAAATATTTACTGTCTGATCTTAACAGAAAAAAATAGCTGCTAATTGGCAGTTAAGGGGGATGGAAAGTATCTGTCTGGGCTGTGAGCCATATAAGGTTCACAAAATCACTCAGTACATGATGAAACAGATATTTATGTCTTGTTAGCTTCCCACAGCCTATCTTCCTGTATTGACTATGTTGAATGGGCTATGAATTACGTTATAA